GGCGTCATGATCTTCGGGAGCGCTTCAGGAGCAAAGTGTGGGAAGTTTTGTCCCAGGACCGACCTCAACATTTTGCTGGTTGCCATAACGGCATTCAACGAAAACTCACCATCTCGCTCATTACCGTTTGGACCCACAAAGCCGACGAACTCCAGGCTCTAATTGACGCAGGCTTTTCTGATTTGCCGTCGCCGGCTCTAGATCCCAGGGTGCGTCTTAAGGTTCTTAGGCTTCTCTTGGTTGGAGGGCTCATGTCGCCCGAAGCGGATCACAGACACAGACGCAGAGCAGGACAAGTATCGTGCAAATGCGGTGCCGTACCCACTCTGTATCACATTTCGTGGGAATGTCCCTTGTATCAAGCTCAAAGACTTCCTGCCCTGCACGCATTGCCTGCGCCTTTGCATGTTTTACCAGCCTGTTTTAGTCATTGCACGATTGTGCCAGCTGGTTTTTCCATAGACAAAGAGCAATTGCACAAGTTGCAATCTTCACTCGTCAGTGTTTGGCAGTCTCATATCGAGGATTGGACCTCCAGTCCCGATATTGCCATCGTGCAGCCTGAGCCTAGTGTTTCTCAGGTGCCGGCTCCCTCTCCGCATCCGGTCGCCCGAAGAGGTCACATTTTACGACCTACGTCTTCAGGAGGCATGTTTTGCGCCAAATGTGGCCTGCAAACTTAATTTATTAAGCATATTAGGCGAAAAAATTTAAGTAAGCCGTGTCGCAACGCAGACCTCGCAGAGGATCAGTGGCTCACGCAGCCTGGGCGTATGTCTGGGGAATCACGTCTTAACGACTTGCTCGCTCACCTTCGGGGTTCTTTGAACAACGGAGGTCACATCCTGACCTGGAATAGGCTGGTTGGCAAGGATTCACAGGATCGCAACAATTATGGTGAATTTTATTGCTTCCGCTGCAAGCGCTTGTGGCCCTGGAAAGTCAGGCACAGGCCCGTGTTCAGGAATTCCATTTGCTATCTTAACACTTCCAACGTTCAAGCACCGCACTGGATTCCACCCTCACCTGCCCCTAAACGTCGCCTTAAGCATAAGTCCCGAACCCCACCCGCTGCTGCAGAGGCCCTCCCTCAAGGGGAGCGGCCAACAGTTAATGATAATGCCTTACCCGCAATTTCACACGAACTTCCTTCTGGATCCCGTGACCATCCCCGCCGTGGTGTGGGATGATCTCTCTTCCCTTCTGTGGCGAGACGGAAGGTCTCGCTGCAGCACAAGCCCATACTACTTCTGGTACCCGGTAGGGCCCCTCGGGGTGGGGTCCCGTATCCCCAAATACTCTGGTCCTTACTATAGGAACTCTCCCCCCCCCCACAGCGGGACCCCCCATTTTGTGACCACCCCCAATTAAATCCCCCTAATCCAATAAGCCCCAAATCGTAACCCTAAAAACCCTAAAGCCCTGGACCGTAAACCCTGAAACCCTGAAACCCTACACCCTGAACCCTAAACCCTAAAGCCCTAAACCCTAGATCCTAAATAGTAGTTTCCATTTCATTTTCCATTTTCTTTTCCATTTGATTCTCCATTATCCCTAAACCCTAATATAAATAAATCCTAAATAGTTGTTTCCATTTGATTCTCCATTATCCCTAAACCCCAATATGAACTCCAGAGGCATGCCTTGTTTGCTCTACCACCTGGCTTTTGTCCAGTGCCTGGTGTGGAGCCATGGCGTAGTTTAGGATGTAGGGTTTAGGGGCAATGATAGAGAATCGATTATGGTCCCCTTTAAGGGGGTGTACAGGGGAGGGTAGAGGGATTATATGGGGTATATACGGTTTAGGGCTAGCGATAATGGAGACTCAGCTGGACACATATTCTGGAAATGACATGACAACTACTATTTAGGGCTGAGGGCTTAGGGTTCAGGATTTAGGGATAAGTGTGCAGCGTTCAAGGCTTAGACTTCACGATCCAACTGCAGCTCTCTTGAACATTTCCTTGATCAGAGGGTCTCCTACAGTTGTTTTGGATGTAGTGTTCAGGCTTCGTGGTCTAAGTTTTAAAACTCAGGGCGCCAGGCCCAGGATGTAGGGTTTGTGTTCAGGGCTCGGGATTTACTCAATTGCGGATTCAGTGCTCGGGGATTAGGGTGCAAGACAAACCGACCCCCTGAAAATGTAACCCGTTCCCTCAACATATGAGCAGTCCTATGTTTGACACTCAGGATTTTTCCAGCCATATAGTAACCGGCATTTTCCCCAATGGTAGGGAACTTGCTAAGTCCCTCTGACCCTCCAAGGGAGATCGTTCAAAGATGTTTTTTTGAACAACGGTCATTGGGCTTTCTGAGTAAAAGCCTTCAAATACACAGACGTGGAACAGTAAATTCATGGGTCCACTACTACCCCTCCACCTCTATACTAAAGGTTCCCCTTGGTTGACCTTAATTTGGCTTAAAATGATTACCCCTGAATAAGCGTAGTTAAGAAAGGTGCCTGTTACATGTTCAGTGTTTGTCTTTCGCAAGATGTTACTTTCTATCTACTGGTGCTTGAGGGGGAGTGGGGGAGTGAATATAGGTGCCATCATAGGGGTACATATGGGGAGTAATCTGGAGACCATACGGTAGTTTCCCAAAATAGGGGGACCCCAGTATAGACCCCAATATATTATAGTCCTTATTATTGAGACCCCCAAAATAGTACCCCTAGTTTTGGGAAAGCTCCGTATTAATCTGGAGACCCTTTACAGGGATCCAGTCCCCCACTTTCCGTGCGTTCACAGCCGCTCAGCTTGATCATTTGAAGCTAAACCCTGTACCCTTGAACCCGTAGTGCCCCTTGAGTAGATAGAATATGGGGTATGTGGGGATCTTATTATAATACACCCAAAGCCATATTCTATCTACTTAAGGGGGACTATAAACCCAAGGATCGGGAATACTGCCTGGCAGTATTACTCCGAGCAGTGGTTCGCCATCGCTGTGTACGGAGGCAGCGAGCAGTACCCATGGCCCCAATTACCTACCTAGGGCCCAGAAGGGTTCAGGGATACAACCCCAATTGCCTACAGTTTAATGGGCTATATTACAAATTAGAGGTAATCACAACTAAACTGTAGGTACTTGGGTTTACAGGTGTTGCTAAGTATGACAGTGATGCCTCCGAATGTGTATACGGATTCGACACACTTGTCCCCTTTGTATCGGGCAACCCTCTTACCCTATCAACATTTGTGTAGCTGCTTGTCGTATCTAAGTTAAACCTAAACCCTGAATGTTGCTGTAACAGGCAGAGTGGGTATTTGTTATCATGACAAACGGATATTATGAGCGGTCCTGCAAAGCCTAGGTAAAGCCTGGATGAGCCACGACAGCTCATGATTACTGTAGGGACTGAAACCATGGCCCGTGTGTTCTTACATTATAATTAGTATGGTCACAGAGTCCTTGCATAGTTTTAGTATAGAGTACCTCAAGAATAGACTTCAGCATAGCATTGGTGATTCTTCATGCCTTTGTAGTAGGCATGTCACGGGCTCCTTGATTCCCCCATAGCACGCCGGTACTAGGTTCTCATGGTAAACTCTCCACCTCCCTAAGAACGAATAGATCTTCCCCCCCCCCCCCAAT